AGCAGTTCGTTTCAACTGTTATTATTATTTAGTTTATTTTTAAAAGTTAAGATTTTAAGTAGAAGGTACTATCGACCGTAATCACGTTTAATATGCGAGAATGTTTTGGATTTAGAGATGTAAAATTAACAAATAATTTTAGGAACGGGTGAAATCGATAGACGTTTTCACAGAATTTAGATAAAAAAGAAATAATCATTTACGCATTTTTATAGATAAATTTTTTTTAATAACTAAACTAAGTTATTAGGATTTTAAAGAAACATTTATAAAGTCATAAATAATATTGTTTTCATAGATACCTGTTTGTTTGTAAAAATTATATTACTCAGCTCTTGACTTTCATTAGCAAATAACGATTTATGAATTTTTAAATATGATAGAAATTAATAAACAATTTAATATTTTTATTAATTATGCATTATATAAGCATATTGAAGTAATAAATGGGAAAACATTTAAAAATAGCTTTTAATTTGATTCTTCTGGATTTCTACTTATATTTTTAAGAATTGTGGTTTTAACATAATCACTGTATTTATATAAAATCCTCGATTAGATCCAAGAGGTGACTGTTTCCATACCATACCCTTGAAACCCATGTTTGGTACTCCACTAGATATATTTGGCCTTTTACGTATTATTAATCCGATATTTTGCTTAAGTCCATATATTATAAAGGGATAGATAATATGCGCATACTTATAAAGGATAAATAATTGTTTATAGGTCTTCGATAGGTACATCGCCTGGATCAACCTCTCTCTCCAGTGCGTGGATTTATTGGAGTAATTGATGTAGTGAGGAAACTGTGCGTGACGTATAAAATATACATTTGATAGGTACTGGATAAAACTGCAGTGTGACGTCACTTATCGAAAATTTTACTGTGATGATTATTATTTATTGAAAGTGATATGATCCAATAATGTAATCAAGTGAAACACTGTGGTATGTGCGGTAGTCCGGAATCAAATTTACACCGATGTACCATTTTATATTATGTTATAATGTATAATATAAAGAGTATAATATATTATACATAGGATAATCCATACTTAACGTGTTACCCTCATTTTATCATTATTTTTTTGCAATTTAGTAAAAGAGATTTTCACATAAATATAATATGAACATATTATAGTGTCTACTTTATCATTTTTTTTTCTTATTACTTTTGTTTATAGTGATGAATAGACATTTTAAAAATATACTTCTTTATTATTATCAGTATTTTTAATTTATCTATCACTATAATACAAAATAATAACAATTTAGTACAAAACACTAAGAGCCAAATAAATATATATTTTTATTTTTGAAAATTACACACATTATACTAAACTAGTGTAGTACATTAAATGCATCACATTGTGTATTAGGTACATAAATTTATAAGATTGGTTCATACACTACGAACGCACACGCACTTTTAGTTACTGGAGGTAAACACCTGTATGTTTATTTTGTTCCAAGTGATATACCCTGAAAACGACGACAGACGAGCCTAAGCAGCATTCCTTAATCGGATAATTTTTTTATATTTTTTATTACCACAAGCCACTTTAGTTAGTATAGACGTATAGATTATATAGGTATACTACCTCTATCGAACGAATGTACTTACAAATAACGACGATGACGATAGCTAGAAAATGTCAACATAAACGTTATTTCATACATTTTAAGTATTTTATTGTTACATGATCAAATAAATCATGACAAAGCAATATTTTCATGATATAATGTTATCCCGTCAACACTCACAAATTTTTTATAAAAACTATTTTATGCGAAAAAGAACCATTCAAGCTACAGTATTGTTTAGTACAATGATTTAAAGTGAAATGTGATTAAATGAATGTCATACCTACTAATACTGACTTAAAATTTATCTCTGAATGTTAAGGTAATTCTTTATGGATCTTGTATAGCGTTTTTATCAATTTAAGTTTTTTAACTTCAAATATATAACAATGATATTATAGGTAATATTTTAAATAGTACATACAATAAAAATTACATTTAAATTTTAATGTCTCGAATTATAATAATATAATATTTTCAATAATGTTAATGGTTTAGCAAATTTTATAATTTGTTTGCGGCTAGTTTCTTTATATAAACTAATGTAGTTTTAAATAATTTATAAGTTATGTTTTTATTTAGTGATTTTTAAGTTATAATTTTGTTTTATATTTTTGGCTGATATAAAAAGAATATAATAAATTTAGAGCACAAACGGTGAAAAAAAGCTGCAGATGGTAAATATTACATTGCATCTAAATTTTACCCAAGAGTTATATACTTAGTAGTAACCGTTGGAAATTTACTACTTAACCAACATTTTTGTTACTTTAGAACTAATGTATTTTTGGTTACCTAATAATAATTTTAAATTAGTAATTTATGAAATAAATAAATTATATGTAAAAAATAAATAAAATAATTATATATAAAGTCATTTCCTGACACTCTCGTTATTATTATCAGGTGTGTAGTCAGAAATTTCCAAGGGAAAGTGTTATTAAAAATATCAAACTTATTAGAAAAATTAAAATATACTTTAATCATAAATGCTAATATTTATATTTTATAATGGCCATATTATTTTAATGCAATATATTTGACATAATTCTTCTATTTTTAGCTTGTTGCCTCTACTGCCATTTATCTACGACTATATTTGCCTTTACTGTCTTCTATTCTTGTCTCTAATGAGATTTTGAAGAGGTCTGTCTTCAGTGAAGATTTTTCACTTTGTCTGCTTTTTTCGGTATTGGATGACCCCTGGGCATTTTTCTATTCAGTATCGACAGTATCCTAATAAATACGTTGTTTGCTTTATCTACAGATTTACACACATAACTAACCCATTCTAACGTTTTACTTTTTAAATGCGCACTGACTATTAATTTTCATGATAGATAATACATTTTTTGGCATGTTTATTTTTTATATTCTTTATTCTCAATAAAATAAAGCCATAAATTTGACATAATACTGTTCTTTCAATCATGTTAATTTTGTCCTTAATTTCCTCTAGTTTTTGACTATAAGTCAATACTGAGTTTAAAAAGCCGGAATATATAAATATTCAGATTTAGTTATCTAGAAAATGTTATATGTACATTGTTTTTTTTTACAAACTTTTTATATATTTGTTACCTAAATAACGCGCTTAATTGATAAAATAAAAAGTTACGCAAAATGACAGAATGAAGAAATCTGTCAGTGGAGATATTTAAAATAGTTATAAGTAGTATATATTTATATACCTACCTTCATGACTTTTATAACATAAAATTATGCGAATTAATATATTTTGAGATCGTAAACACTATGTCATTTTATCGTAAGAAATTATGTTTACGTAGGTTTTATAAGAGCTTATGATAATAATATTATGTATATGTCCCGCTTGGGCAATCGAAAATGGTCTGTGGGACGCAGTCGATGGGTCGAACTTCTCGACATCGCTTCGCAGGTAAATAGTGTAGGTTGTACAGAGAATACGTGGTTTGCCGTTGTTTAATGACGAAAATTTGATTGCAGACAACGTACACAGCTGTATTTACCACGTGTTGCGTATTCAACAATAATTATAAAAATGGAATAAAAGGACAAAATAATAGGCAAATATAGATTGCCAGGTGGACTCATAAAAGCAAACTGTGGAAAGTAATCTAAAAATAGGTTGAATATGCTCGTCGGAAATAAATTACTATTATTATAATTATTATCATATGTAGTTATACTTCATAGTTCGATTACCGAACGCTCCTAATAATCTGTTGATGTAAGTAGGCATGTAAAAAACAACCAGTATTCGAGTAAATATTAAAATATATCGTGTTCAAATGATGATGATGTAATAATATTGTTTGCCAAAAATTGATCGAGCAACTCTAGTAGTTGATCTATCTTTTGCTTATAAAGTCAAATGCACTACAGTTATTGAATATTTGAAATTGATATTCTACATTTATATAGGACATATAATAATAGTAAATAGTATCACATTATATTTAACATGTATTGCTTAGGCCTTTAGAATAAATTGGAAAAACGAATATATCTATAAACCTAGTCTTACGTAGAAATCGTAGTACACATCTAATAATATATGATCATAATATAGCAATGATACCATACAATAAAAAGTCACTAGATTAAAATAAAGAAAAATCGGGTGGGTTCATTTTTCTCAAAAAAAAAAAAATATTGTTTTTCTCTATAAAAAGATTATTTTTCATTTTTTTTTCTTCAAAAGCTTTTGGATTAAAATTATGTCAATCCTACAAATATTAAAATTATTAACCAATATTTTAGTCTGCTCTAGTTTTGTAGTGATGCTTACCATCAGATTATGTAGGATCACATTATGCATTTTATGGATTGTAATTCCATTCTAGTGGCGTATCTATGGGTAAACAAAGACATTTTTAGGCAAACATAAAAAGTAAAATAATTGCTTGTCTGTTTAATATATATTATTAAAACAGATATTCTATTTGTCTTAAAACTCCTGATAAATATAAAAATATAAATGTTGATAACACATAGGTAATTTTTAATTTATATAATATGACTTAAAATATTAATTATAGGAAAATGAAGAATAATATCTTATTATAAAAGGAAATTAGCTAGGGATGAAAAATATATATTTTTTTTCAAGAAAAAAATGTAGACAAAGTAATTGCTTAGATTAAGATTTTAGTAAAAATAAATTACTGGTAAACTGTTTATTTTAATTTTTAATAATCTAATAAGTTATACATTTTCATAATATTAGCACAAAAAAATATTTAAAATTTTACAAAAGCTTTCTAAAAATATTTAAATTAGTTGATTATGTTTTGAAATTATTGGTTTAAGTGTTAAAATGATTCAAATTTAGTCTAGTCTAATTAGTTTTTTATATAAAATACTTTTTTTTACAATTTCTAAATAGGTTAGTATTAATTATATTTTTATATTATCAATATAATACTCACTTGACTAGATCTGTAGCGTAGCGGTCTTCGATATTTTCTTCGAACCTTTCTAGGACAACATACACACAAAATTCGACCATATGCCCTAGAAAAATGAATATTTAGTTAACTTAGTTTATTCAATATTAATTATCATTATTTATAAATATAAAATAGGTATAAGTTAGCTGTTCAACTCTAAATACATGAATGTTGATTAAATTCGTTATCGATAGGTACTAATGGCATAACTATTATAGTAATTATGAATTATTTTTGAATGATTATATATATATAATGTATTTTATGTGGTTTTAGATTTTGAATGGAGTGATAAATGTATTGATTTTACAATAATATATATTTTTAATTTTTAATTGTATTTTGAACCTGGCGTCACTTTAGAATCAATAGAAATGATTGGACTTAATTTAATAATTTTCCGGTAATAAAGTGAATCTAGTTAGTATTTTGAGTAGAAAAGAGGTGGTCAGAAAAAAAAAATATAATAAAAATTCTAAGTACTTTTTTAATTAATTAGGAAAAACAGAAAAAAATCATCGTCGAAATCGATAAAATTTACAAACAATTTTGTTGTTTTGGCCAATAACCTTAGTTTTTAAGGCTTTATTATAATAATAAAAACGAAACATTGTAGTTAAATATGCATAGCTTGTTTAATATTTACACTTTAAGCCTAACAATTTTTATATAAGGTTCCATTTAAAAAGTTTGCTTATATAAATTATAATATGAGTTGAGTGAAATACCAAGAATATTTTTATAAGCATCTGAAGTTTAAATTTGAACCATAATGGATATAGCATTTAAATATAAAATAATACATGGTTTATAATACAGACTGCAGATCGACTACCTATGATCAATATCATTTTTTTGCAATATGCAATAGCTGATAATTGAATTCAAATTTAAAACATTCATTATATTGACTACGTTCATTTTATATCTTTTGTGCAGAACTACAATAGAATGTAACCTACATGCTAGTATTTTTTTTCCATAGTGTAACACAAACTATAATAATAAAAAAAATAAATATGCTTATATTAAAAACATTTTTTGACTAAATCTACAGTTTGTTATTTACTTAAAGCTATTCTTCTAACCTTTCTCCAGTATTTTTAATTATTTTTGTTAATTGCTTAGAAAATAATTTATTATAACTTAATATTTTCTGATTATATAGTTTATTTTTTCATTTTTTCTCATATTGCGTCATCTAAAATTAAGACAAAATGTTTAAAAACATTATAAGTATTCAAGAGAATAGTTACAAAAATTATTTACTCGCTGAAATAATGAAATATTTCTAAGGAATAATAAAATGATATCAAGAAAAAAAATGAATAGGTATCACAATTAACTTCTATAAGCCAATAATAATTATAGTATAATATCATATAATATTTTGAAAATAATTAAATATTAACATAAACGGTTATAATTATTTAAAGAATATGTATAAGTATTTAAAATAATATAATAATAAAATTTCATACTCAATAGTATCTTATATCATTTATTAACCTTGTATTTAAATATATAATTAATCTATACAGATTTTATTTAAAAATATGAGACTTTGACTTCTACAGATCTTATATTTTTTTTATTTAAGCATAAAATATGATTAAGTTTTGTTTTTTAGTATATTTTGAACATTTATTTGAGCAACTAATTAATACAAAAGTAATATTTTACACTTATCATATAAATATAATAATAAAAATATTTTAAAGTTATATTTATGTTTCAGAGTATTTATTAAAATTATATTGTAAAATTCACGCCGAAGTACCTTCGCTAGTCGGTTCTTCCATAAAGTCACTCAAGCTACTGCATATAAAGAAAATCTTCCATTATGCTTATTGTACATTTTTTTTTGTATAGATTGTATAAATTCTAGATTAAGAATATAGAAAAAAAATAAATTGTACAATTGCTGCTTTATTTAAAATTTTTATAATGTTTATAATGTTTATAATTCATAATTATTATTTTTTAATTTAATTATGTTGAATTATTTATTCGCGTACTTGTAACACTTGTGTAAAAGACTTAACTAAAATTAAGTATTTATAATATGTCTTATAAAAGGAGATATATTATTACTGAAATTATTATTTTTAAATTTAATAATGTCTATTATATTTTATAACAAAGAGAACTAAATATTTTGTTTTGATTCAAAGATTATTATTTGTACTATATAATATTAGTTTCAAAATTTATAATTTCGGAATATTAAAATTTTACTGGTTTGCTGTATATTTTAAAAACTATAATTTTGTTTAAGAGATGACTCGAATTTCCTGTCTCTTATTTTAGAACACAATGCCATTTTTCACCAGATACCATCCATTATCAGTTTTTCAACGTCGATGACAGTGATGGACTTTGAGATATTATTTAGGCTGCTAGTACTCAAAGTAGGTGGATAATCCCATACTCAGTCATTTACACTACTCTCTCGTTTCCTAAATGATTGTTCTCTAAACGTTAGTAGACTTTCAGAGTTTTTTGTTCCGAGGTATTATAATGAATTAAAGTAACCAAATTAACCCTCGCTAACTCCCTATCTTTATTTTTTCACTACAAAAGAATATCATTACATCCAATTCATAACATTATGAATGAGATAAAATAAATTAGATGAAATCAAAAAATATATTATAATTAAAAAAATAAAATATATTCAACCATAAAATTAACATAAAAGATTCATATAAGTAGGTAGTTAAAATTATGAGATTTTAATTAAATTTTTTTAATAATAACATTTGGGTACTAAATAAAAATATATAAAATATTGGTATCTATATAAATTTAAATTTAATTTAAAGTTATTTTTGAATAAATATTTTTGTTTTTATAGTTGATAACTTACCACTTACGTGTAAATAAAATATACTTTGAATAAAATACTTGTGTTTATATATATTGATGCAAACACTTATAGTTATTTATAAGAATTTAAGCAAATACTTAAATGTATACCCATAATAATACTTAAATAATAAACTTATATGTATATAATTTTCCAGGTCTATACAAATATTAAAATATAGTTTATTATTTATTTTTAAATGTATGCTTTTTTTTGAATTGCTTTGGTTAATATTTTTATGGATGAAAATCTAAAAAAGTCATACAAAGTACATTTAAAATACATTTTCCTAAATTAATATCTTTCAAATCCATTATGGATATACTATAGCTATCCTAATAATATTTTTTAGAGTTACAGCTAGTGTTCTACTAGGAACCTAACCTACTCTTTCTTCAGTTAAATTTTATACCACAGGCTTATCGATCATGCTTATTAGCATATGCATAATTATTTAGGCTATGAAGTAATAATATCAACTAGCGCTGACTATTTTATAGTTTTTAGTTTCTACCAATGTACAAAAACATATTTTTTTAACAGATAATTGGATTAAAAAGTGTTAGTTAAAATCAAATCAAATAAATTTACACTGAATTTACTTTTTAATAAGCAAAATGTCCACCTATAACTCTCAATGAAACCCAAATCATATCATTTTTGATTTGTAGTCTTTTAGTTTTGATTTGGTTTGCTCATGTGAGTCAGCAATCGTTTATGACTGTAAAATATTTCGGATTTATATACGATTACTGACTTACATGAGCAAACCAAATCAAAACTAAAATACTTCAAATAAATTTATAGGTACATAAGTTAACACACTAATAAATAACAATAAAATAATTATTTTAAATATTAAACTACTCATGCACAAGTCCCTTCTTAAATTAAAATAAAGCTATATGGCTTTTAATTATGAGTTTTTATTTAAGGTATACAATTTAAAAAAATACAGTTTCAATTTCAAATGAATAGGTACCATTAGAAATATTACTGATTCCCTGCCAGTCTCTTTATTTCTTATTATCTTATCGAATTATTCACCCACCACAATAATTTTCATTTAAAAGTATTCTGGAAGAATCAAAACATTTCTATAAGACACTCCAAAAGAAAAAAATTATAGGATGTGTCACCATTAGATGACATCCTCTAATAAGTAATTCACCAACTTATTTAATTATCACATATTTTTATTGTGCTTTAATGTAAAAATTTTTACATATTTTTAAAAATAAAAAAATAAATTATTTTTATGCTATATAGAAATTTATTTTAATAACTTATAAAATTGCAAATCTTATTATAGTAATAACAACAACAACAATAATATGATTGTGCAGTTTTAAATTTTGATTTGGAATAAATATATAAATTAATTTACTTCAACTTAAATTTAATATATATGAACGGCAGTTAAATTACTTATAGAATTCTATAAAAAAATTAAATGTGGTACCAAGTGTTTCTTTTTTTTTGCTATTGTCTTCAGTTTGTGAGTTTTAATTTAATACCTACCTTAGTCAATAAATAATAATAAAAAATAATAATAATCAAGGAAGTTATAAATGTTGATTGTAATATACATTGAATAATGCTATTAATATTTCTTTGTTAATTTTAATAGTTTGTTAATCTACTTTATATTTTGTTGAGTTAAGTCATCGATGGTCATAAAAAAATTCATTTTTTCCATATTAAATAAAGTATGGAGATGAATAATATAGATTAAATCGAATTAAATCAATTTATTAATTTTAAAATGCATTTACTAGTTTAAGTTATTATTTCTATCAGATTGAATTCGAAAACCGAATAATTCACGTTTAGATACATTTATCAACAGAATTATTATATTCTCTCCCACATTGTATGCAGTAGTAATTTTGAACTTTAAATGTAGCTAGTTATATTATGCTGATAAACGTAAATATTTATGTATTTTATAATACATATCTCTTTATATATATATATATATATTTAATACATATATGTATAATATTATATTGTGTTACGTATAACAACTTGTGGTCTTCACATAGTATGTTATATCTATAAATCATGATCCATGATCTTCATTGATTAATATCATTTTAAGACTATTTTTAAATTCATTAAACAAATAAAATCACTAATATAACACAATTTTAAAAGAAGAGAAAACAAATTTAATGTAATTTTTATTGATAAAT